TTACGGATAGATCGGGTAAAATAGGGAAAAACTTTTTGTTCTCATAGACGATTTTAAAGAAGTTTTATTGGTTATTTAAAGGGGACAAAAGGAGGACATACCTCAAGCAAATTTTGCATATCTAAACTATGTGCAAATTTCACACAGTTTAGATTAGTTCAAAGAATTATTCTAAATGTACATTGTTGTTTACGCTAATGATGGAATTCCCCTTGTGTGTCAAAATTTGACCAATAATGCGAAAGGGTGTTGAAAAAATCAAAGGATGTGATTGGTGCCATGTGGAAGGATGTCAAAGTTAATGTAAAAAATAATGTACATGTAGCATATTTCTTAGTTCAAAATATGAGAACTCAACTGGATCTACATTTTTCAGAAATGTTTTAAAAAGTGATTGCCGAATGTTTCTCGTCTGTTTGTGATGACTATGACTGACATTGATATTAATGATATTGATGCTTAAAGGGGAAAATAGTTGTAAAAATGGTTTTCACATTGATATTCTATTTTATTATTATAGTTTTTAGTTATTATGCAATTGCTTTTCATTCGTTTCATTGATTGTCTTTTATTTTTGCTATGGTGAAGGAAAAATAGGTTGAAGAAATGGTTTTCTAGAGGCTAAGGAAGGAAATAAATGCATATAAATAAAGCTCGAGCTCATAATCACTAATATGAATGACCATATGTGCAGTGATGTAGTTGAACTTTTTCCATTGTAGGGTCAAAAACTAAGCTCAATCTTTTAGAAAACAACATAACATTACTGAAACTAAATCAGTATATTCTTACATTTGTTGCATATATAATTTTATGCTTTGAGTAATTTGGCTTGAGAAGATTAGAGCTCTATTTATTAGAAGATGATCTAGAGTTTCTTTTCGTAGTGTGATAATTGGTGATTCCTTCATAAGCACATTATAAGATTAGGTTGCCATTCAAAGTCCAAAAGATCGCCTTTTAGGAGAGTGAAATCTAGCACGACTAGGAATACTTGCAAAGACTAGTTTATGAAAACCTTTTCTTAACTTATAAGGATAGCTTGTCCACATATTCGTTGAAAGAAGGGTCAAAGTGTTGCACATTTTTTTAAACATAGTACACCGTGGGATAATGGATGGAGATATAGCTCTCTATAGCCCCATTTTGTACAACTCAATTTTTTGAAACTTATTTTCAGTTATGTATTTTATGAGATCCATAATTTTTATGAAAACTTCTCAACTACGCAATTTATCGACTTTTATCAAAATTTATTAAAAGCCCGAATTCTACCAAATATAGATGGGAATTGTGTTTATCAATAGACCACCAACTATACATAGGCATTTCCTCCAAGAATCTACAATTATGATGATAATATGGTCAAGGGCAATACCTTGATTCTTGATCCATTTTTACATTATTCTCAATATCTTGAATGTATATTTAGTCCTTGTTTGTCTACCATTATTCCAAAAAATTGTTTGTTACAGTAAGATTCTCCACCACACATTCACCCAATAAAATATTCTACACACAAACTAATAAAGTTACTTTAAATTTCAATCACACATTCTTCAAAAAATACTATTCATTACTCTATTTTTCTCCCAATTAATAATAAATTTCAAGAAATTTTGTGGGGTCAAGGCCGTGTGCACGGTCGTCACCATGTAAAGGTAATCAAGTTTGTGATTGACCTTGAAAAGATAATGTGATAGGATTGAGACACAAAACATTGCAGAAATAACCTACAAAAGAATTGTATGTAGAAAATAAGAAAAGTAGGAGCTGGACAAAAATATATTTAGATGTTCAAAAATTCCGCTTGTACAGAATACCGTTCCACAAAAGAAAACCAGAAAAGAGACATGGGGTGGGCCCCATGCCAATTTTATATTAAAAAAATAAACCATCCACCATCTGCTGTGTCTTATCTGTATTATCTCTATACATGTAGAATAATTCTTAGATGTTTTATAACACAAAATCACAAGTGTAAGTGTTTTTTTTTCCCTTTGGGATATTGTTTCACATTTTTTTATGAATATTTATTTTGATTGTGGTGAGATTATACAAAATATTAATATTAAGACCTTGTTTGATTACCATTTTTTTAAAATACATTTTTCTCTCTTCTTTCCAATTACACATTTTTCAATAAAATAATATTACATACAACTAAAAAAAATATTTATTTTTAACCATATATTTTCCATCAATCTGCTATTCTAAAATGCATTTTACACAAAAAATTGGATTCAAACATGCCCTAAATTATACTCTGATGCTATTAAATATCTAATTATAAATACGAAATGTGTGTTACACATCCTTCTCACTATATAATAAATAATCGAAACAATATTAAATGACTTATTACAAGTAAGCCACGTGCATTGCAAGGGTCGAAAACTAGTCACTTAAGTAGGATAGATAAAAGTTGAAGAAGTAATTCAAATAATTATTTTTAGCGTTTTATTGATACTCAATTGGAACTCCATTCTTGACTATTTCAAGTAATCATATGAATTTCATATGATATTCGTAATTGCCACCACATCATGATATGAACTTGAAAAATATTCAAATCGCTGAAAATAATTAGAGATAGTGCGTATTTTCAAGTATTTTTCTAGGATTTACTAGCGCTTAGTTTTAGATTATCTTGCAAATGAACAAAAAATAAAAATAAAACAAATAGAAAAATAGTTGAACTAGTTAGGAGCAATCCAGAAAGGGTGGTTCATTTTTTGTTGATAGTAGTCAAACAATGACTCTATACTTCCCATCTCCCAATGAAAAAGATTCCGATATCGTGACCTCCACAAGAGTATTAATCCTCATCCAATCTATCACATTACAATCATGCTACATGTATATCTTTTTTACATCATTATTTATATTGTGCAACGTGGTAACACATTATTGAACAATTTAAAAAAAAAAAAAAAAAAAACTTTTCCCGCCCACATTTTTTTTTGAAAACAAAGTTAATATCAAAATCAATGCAAGGGAATGAATGTATATTTAGCATTATTGATCTCATTAATCATTTGTGAAGCAAATTTATGTTCACCTTGCCTTCATATCGGGGCATTACAATTGCCTCACGCTACTTTTGCATAGATAGGTTGTGATTTCTTGTTCTTCTTGCTAGGTTTCACTAGTTGTGATTCTTGATTTGTCTTTCAGGTATCCACTCACCCACTACAATTCATATTTTTGGAGTATACTAAAAAGGATCTGGGGTTGAAAACCTGATTGTCTATCAAGTTTTAAGTTCGGGATTGAAGTAGTCGGTCAAAATTAATCATGCTTAAAGGGTAATTCCACAATCCTTTTATGTAACCAGTCAAAGTTGAACATGCATTGCACGTTGTTATAAAACACTTTATAAGTATTGTAAAAGTAATATTTGAATATGCGTGAATGTTAATTAATTTAGAATTAATAGCGAGGAATATATACGTGACAATGAATGTTAAATCATTTATTTAATTTTTAATTAAGTAAAACTAAATGTTAATTAACGTGTATGGGCGTGAACNATGTTAATTAATATAAATGGACATGAATAATGAAATACATTCTTGAATGTGAAACTCTAATTAACTTATAATTAGAATTAATATCATTAAACTGCATAAATGAAAATGAATATTTATTCAATAAATGTTAATGTTAATTAATTGAGAATTATATATTAATTTAAGTACACTGGTGAAATGAATATGTCAATTGTATATGTACATCGATGGTAACTAAATGATTAAATAAATTAAATACATATTGAAAAATAAAAAGTAAGGTATCATTGAAATAATTAAATTATAGAAAAAAATGAAAAATAATGTATTATTGATATAATTGATAGTAGGCTAGAATCGTCTAAAAAATTATTCTCACTTGATCTGATATTTAGAGCCTGTTTGGAAGGAATTTTAATCCACTTAAAATTAAAAATATAGCCGTTATTGGGTCCCACCCGTCTAATAAAAGTCAACAATAACGGCTAATTTTTCAATTTTAATCCGATTTTAATCCTTTCCAAACAAGCTCTTAATATATTATATATTAATTCAGTATGTTATAATATGAATTTAATTATTTACTAAAGATTTTTGGTAAAAACTTGTTTAATTACATTTTTTATTGCCTAATCTTTTTCATATTTTCCAATAGTTTTGGTCTAAACTTACAAATCCCATCTCGATCTCGTTATGGTTTACAATTCTGGTTGAGAATTAGAAACTTTAATTCTACACCACCAAAACCAATGATATCGAAGTAAAGAAATAGATACATAAGAACACACAAAATTTATAGAAGCTTGCTTTAATGTAAGACTATGTCCTTATCCGCCGTTACAATAATTTACTATAATGAAAATACATTTGTAAGAGAAAAGTTTGCACACCATATTTTCTGTTAACGTCTCTCTTTTCTATGATAAATACAAAATCTTAATAACATGACTCCTATTTATTAGATAATTTAGGACAAATCGAAATTACAAGTGTGAAACTCAATCTGCATATGGACTATGCATAACGACAATAATTATGCTCCATGTCTTAACAATTCATTAAAATAGTGGTCAAACATTTAAAGTTATTAAGAGCAACAAACAAAAGCAAAAGCATAATAAATATAATTTAATTTCAAAAGTAAAAATTAAATCATCAAAAGTAGTTTACATCATTCCATCTAACATGAAATTTAGCTACATTGTACAACCGAACTTGTAAAATATTGTAAATATCGCGAGTGTGACTTTTTAAGTGAGAAAATGATACTATTTACATTGTGTGTGTGTTTTATTATTGGGTACGTGCATCCCATCAACCGGACTTGCTACTTTTACCGGGATATAAAAGAAAAAAGCCCAAATACTTTTACCGGCTTAAGAAAAAAGCCCAAATTAATAATTTTGGAAATTTTAGGTACTATAAATATATACAATAAATTTGTCTTGCGCCCCCGCCTCTAACACTTCCTCTTTCTTTCTATGCAAAATGAATGGACAACATCCTCGCCGCCGCCACAGCGGCCGTAGGGTGGCTCCACCGGCACAACAAGGACAACACCTCAATCCTAACATATTCTTAAACCCCAACCTTTTCTACCTCCAACAGAACCCCAACTTTTTGCCTCACCTGAACCCCTTCCTTCAAAACCCTAGCAATTTCCAATTCCAGCAAAATCCTAGCAATTTTCCACCAATTCAACAAATCCCAAGTAATAGTTTCCCAATTTTGCAAATCCCGAATAATTATTGTTCGAACGTTAGACCTCATAATAATAATGATGATGATGATAGCAGCAGCAACAACTACAACAAATTCCCGCAGCAACAGCATCCTCAAGAAAAATTACAGAACGAGGCGATTGAAAGAGTTGATAGGGCAGCTGTGACGGTTCGTGCTGACCTTTTGGCTTCTAAAGAGAATGTATCGGCTTGGAAAGTGTCGCAGGGTGCGTTACTAATGGTAAAAGCGGATTCTTGGGAGTCTTTGGGGTTTCAGATGCAGCAAGTGCCCTCTATAAACCGCCTTTTAGTCACTGAAGGAAAGGTACGCGAAACTAATATTGAAGTTCGTTTCCCTGTTTTGCATATTCTCTCCTGGTCGTCCAAATTTCAGAATGTTCAAAATTTACATTGTTTATGTTAAAAAAAATTTGAGCATGTTTGAATTAGCTTAAAAAAATTCAGTAAATTTAGCAAGTTTACTTATTTGAGTAGGTATGCCTGGGTTAACTGTCCTTAAAACTAGTTTGGTGTTTGACATTGGGCTCCACAATGCATAGACAATGCTTTTGAACCTTTGTTACCAAAAACATCAAATCGAACTCTGAGTTCTGAGTCGTTAAAGAAAAATTAATTCATTGTTGATCTGTCGTACACCTTCAGATGTGCGCTTGCATAGATATTTATGAAATATTAATTTTTTATTAGAGATGATAACCGGTTTATGGCAGGTAGGTGATGTGCTATGAGATGATAAGGCCAATTAAATGTATGGAGATGAGACCCACTTTATTGGTCATCATCTCTATAAATAGCATTACTTATGCATGCGTATTTACATCCGTGGATTACCTTTTTTGATTCGTCCTTTTTTTATCCTTCCTTGTGAAGATTAATGCCTTCATCCACTGCTTTGCTGCTGTTAGAAGAATTACTTCTTTGTATGATTTGGAAGTGGCAATCTGCGAAAACGAGGGCATTGAACGGTTTGAAGAGCTAGAATTGGGTCCTTTGGTAAGACATCCACTGGCCTTGCATTATTTTTCTGTGAGTCCTGATGCTGCAGAAGTACACAGAATAACAAGCGAAGAGATAATTTCCTACCTTGTCGAGTTCATGGATACTCAAAAAAGGAAACTTAAGGTTGATGTTTTCTTGGATTTTATTGCCAAGAAGCAATCTGTCTCCAACAGTGAAAACCTTTATGTGCGCATTCAGAACTTGAGGTATGTAATTTCTTTTTTCTTGAGCAGGATCTGAATTTAAAATAAATTGTTTTTTACCCTCATTTCTTAGTACAAATAATACATTATCTAGATAAAAGGACATTATCTGATGTTCTTTTCTAGAGAAGTTTGAGTTATCTGTTATTTCTGATATCTGATTTGAAGGGTATTACTATATCCTAAGGGAATCATTGTTATTTTCATGCTTTCCCATTTTTGGAACATCCTGAAAAAACACCTCGCTGTGATGGTTGACATTTTGTAGCTTTTATTTCTGCAATGAAGCAGTAGAATCTGTCATTATCCTCATAGCATTTGATCATTTGTATGGTGAATTGTGCTTGAGACCCTTCTTCAATATTACTTCTAGATAGTCCATTTATAATGAGAACTTCTGTTTCTCTGTTTCTAAATACTTTAAATTCTAAATTTTAGAACATATGCTACTCACATTCGACAAGCAAGACAATCAGAAGATCGAGCACTAGAAAAATGCTTCGAGAAAATGCAAAAGAAATCTGCTAAAGGGGGCAGGAAACGCCCGCTCTTTTCTGCACAGAAAAAGCAGCTTGATGACCATTTTGGTTCGATATCCCAGCGCATCAAAAAATTTTGTGGCAAACACACAAGATTTGTATCTTCGAGTTCAGAAGATTATGATAGTGATGATAATGAATCTGAAGATAATCAAAGTGAGAACAATACACCCAGCAACTCCAGTACTTTACTACCAAATCTTAGAGCAGGAGTCAGTAGCTGTCCTTATCCATCAGCAGCTGAAGAAATGACACGGCTGGGTTTGAAAAGTGATGTAGATGGTAGCCTTTGTGTTCCTAGTGATAGTGTAAGATGCAGTGCTGATACTGAGTCATCTCAAAGAAAGAGAAAATCTGAAAATATTAGTTTCAAAGCCTCTTCTCAGAAGCTGTTTAAAAGAGAGAAGTTTGACACAGATATCAAGGAAAAAGGTTTTAGCAATCAGGGCACAAATGATTATTTACTTCCCAATGATTCGTTAAGGATGTTCATTACAACTTGGAAGGAGGCATGTCGGCTGAACAGTGTAGAGGAGGTAATGTGGATTAGATTACATATTTGATTGAAAATTAACACGTTGGCATGCTTGTTTCTTTGTTTCAACTATCTTTGCTCTCTTCTTTCTTGATTTTAGTAAGCTCAAGTTAATACCTTTCCGTTTGGATTTTTTTTTTTTCCATTTTTGAATATCGAATTTCAGATTTTGTTTTATTCTTTCTTGTTTGTGTAGGTTCTCGAGAGAATGCTTCTGCTATACAATACAAAGAAAAAGAAGAAAGTCAAAGCATTGTTTACATCATACCCATGTGTTGGATTGCTAAATGTTGCAGTAAGTATATGACAGATTAACTTTTGTAGTTTAGTTTTAGCACATAGTTTTGACTTAAAACTTTAAGCAGAACTTTGTTATGGTTATTTCTTGAACATGCTTTAGCTGAACAAGCAATTGACTGTAGATACTATAATATTATTAACAAAATTCCGTAACTCCATGCATTTCTGTGGAAGATATGATTTAGTTTGCACCATAAGGTACCATTGGGTGAAGTATCAAATCAATTGAAGTTCTGTTTTAGTAAAGATCAGAATAGAGAGATAATTTCTCTTTTGCGGCATGTGGTCTAAGGTGGATTGAGCTTTGGATAATAATCAATCTTATGAAAACATAGATATTTCCCCTAGTCACCTCACATTCTATTGGATCTTGAATCAAAATGTTCAGTTATTCGAAGATAGGTGATGTATGTCACTGGCAATTGTCTTTTTTCTCAATGCTCCTTGTTACAGTAATGTTTGATTATTTCTTATGGAAAATGATGATAGCTGGTTAATGGTTTAATTGGTGATATATATCACACAACTCATGAAATTCATATTTCCGAGAGTTCTGAGTTTGACCACATTTGTTACTCGATTACTTGAAGTCGGGCGTAAATATCCATGGAAAGTTAAATTCAAAGTCTTCTTTTTGACTTCTAAGTTCGCTTCTCTCCTTGAAAATACTGACTAAAAGAAGTTTCTAGGACTCGAAGGTGCTTAACTCTTTCTTATTATTAGTAAGAATTGTTGTCTTAGTTTCGTAACAGAGTTCAACCCCAGATTTTCATGAATATTGAACCCTTTTCCACTAGATTTTAGTGCTGAATGGTTGTCCTTTCTCGAGTATCATTGGGATTGATTGTAAGTTCATTGGCATCATTCATGTCTTCTTTTTTATTTGTTCGACTTTCATATATTTCAGAAAAGGATTCAACACAGGTTTTTCCTATTGTAAATTTGTTATGTTGCTCTAAATGCTGCAAATCACATTAATATCAAAAATGTAGGACGCGATCATGTGGAGGTACTTCTATTTAAAATTAATGGCTTGTTTGAGCCCCATTTATTTTGAAAACAATGTATTTTTGAATAGTGATTAATGGAGAATGTGTGGTTAAAAAATAAGGTAAAGTTTTGAGTTTGCGTGTAATATTATTTTATTGAAATTGAAAAATGTGTGGTTGAAAAGAGAAAAATGTATTTTGGAAATAATGGGAATCAAACAAGGGCTACATATTTATATATGTTATAATTTTTTGAATACTTTTTGTTTCTAAAAAAATTAGTACTCTTTTTAGCTTTGATTTTAACTTGCAATTGAAATTCATTGAATAAGAATGATTTGTAGTACTTCCTATTGCTAGCGGAATATGAAATAAAAATATTCATGCATCAAAAATTGCATATAGTAGTTGTAAACAAATTTGAAATGAAGTTCCTCAATTTTCTCACATCATGTTGAGTTTTCTACACAAATTGCTTTACAAATTACAAATTTATTTAATTTCATGTTCCAAATGTTTTAAAGGTTAGAACACTTCATGTGCTTGTCTGATACTGTCCTCAAATGTCAGCATCCAACACGGACACACCCTTTAGGAGGATTTTCCGTGCTTCATTCATTGTAGTTTTTTGTCAATACACAAAAATGGGAATCCATTTGTGAGCTATGACTTTGATAGCAGGTTTAGGAGATGTTGGTTGCATAACTGGACAGTGATCATATAATCATTGGATGATTTGTGCACTTGTGATTGATTTTTGAATTATAAAGGGTTTGTCGTGTGAATTGATATTGCTTTTTAAGAATTTAAAAGAGAGAAAAATAATACTGGCAAATAAAATGAAGAAGCTAATTGGTAAATACACCTACATTTCCCTAGGATTGTTCTCCTAGGTATTTAGTAATTGAGCATCAAAACAAGTTCAAAACCTTCAGAAACTGTTTCCAAATGAACTCTTAGGACTTCTTTACTTATCAAAGTGAAAGATCTGTTGAGTATATCTTTGCTGCTTTGATGTTCTAATCCTACTGGGATGCAAGCTCATCAAACTTGGAAAACTACAGTAATCTCTTTGAATTTGAGAAACTTCTGTACTATTCAGGCGTTCTATAAGTTGGAACAATAACTATTAAATTACTTCATTTATCATGAATAGCTAATTCTCATGTATAATGTCAACAAGATAATCCAAATACACATCTTTGAAAAATATAAAAAACCTAAATTAAAATTTCTGTGAGCTTACTGCTGTAATGAACTGATTAACATTATTTTTTGTTTAATCTAATTGCCCCTAGAGCCTGCCTTTGTGGAGTTACACAAGAAAATATAATTTTGTGAGACTGCAAGTTTCAACCATGAGATGATTGAGGATATATGGTCATATGTAGTGCTGCTTCGAACAGATGTGAACAAAAAGTAACATAAGATACACCAAATGCTGGTGGAAAATGTGGTTACACCAGTAAAGGGATAAGTGTAGTACATTTACTCACAATTTCTCTCAGATCACTTTCCATCCACTGTGGAGAGATGGCATTCTTTTGTACAATAATGATTGTATTTTTTCAATCCTGTTCTGTTTCCCCTTTGCTTGGAGATGGAAATTTCGCCCCAAATGTTCTAGTCATTTTTTGGCTTATGGAAGGTTCACTAGTATGCATATGCTACTTTACTAACTGTAATGTGATGTTACAGGTGACTTCTATGAAATTTGGAATGTGGGATAGTATGTATGACACTTTCCAAGCTTTGAGCCAACAAGATTTGGCTGGCAACGTTTCTGAGAATTCAGCGGATTGCATTAGCATAGATGTTGAACAAGCTGAAAAGGATTTTGTCTCCATATCCCGGCAGAAAACTCTTAGGCGTGAGCATGGTGAGTCATTTTGATACATTGTTCACTATTGAATTTTGGTATTTTTTTAATAATATTGTATGCTGCCATTTTTCTGTGATTCGGATGTTGTTCACTTAGCATTGTTTGTAGCAATTAAAAATTGCAGTAAGAAGCCAATATTTTCAGATGCTTGTACAGGCAAGACCACCATTTTCCTTCTCTAAGCTATCTGAATACTTCAACTTTACTTGGTCTGGTGTAGATATGTGTTACCTAGACATTGATTGGATTGGTTCTTTGTATTATGATTAAGATTGAAAATTTGATTGCTAAAGCAGAGGTACGTGTGACCCTTTCCAGCTCTCAAAAGCATGCTCAAATGAAACAAGCCTGATCAATAGCATTTGATTTGTTTAGTTTGTCTGTAGTAGAAGCATTCATATTTGGTTCCTCTATTTTCTACTGTTTCAAGTGGGATTTTAATGAACTTTAAAGGGTGATGCACTTTTTCCCCCCAGGTCTTGTTAATTGAACTGTGCTTGTTCTCTTATTATGTTTTTCATTTACATGTGGTTTTTTCACTTTGTAGGAGTCACAGTTGAAGATATTGTGAAGAAACTTTCTGAATATTTTGATGACGACATCACAAGCTATGAAAATCCATCTCGAGAAAAGAAATTTTTTTTCTTGAGTAAGCTTTCTGAGTGCGAGTCTTGGCTGATGAAGCAATATTCAGTCAAAAAATTTGAGTCCCTGGGCTACGGAGATTATTATATGTTCATAGAGAAACATATGCATTTGTTGCCTCATACATTACGGAAATGCTTGATTGGTGACAGAAATGAAAATGATTCTTTGGAGGCTCGCTTACAGCCACTTCAATTGGATGTATTAATGTCACAAGCTTCAAATAGCTTGTGGGAAAATGGAACGGTAAGCCTGCAGAATGTTTCTGAGTTGCTTACAAGGCAATTTCCTTTAGTATCCCTCAAATTAGTGAAAAGTGATCTCATGGTAAATTTTGGGCAAGGTGCACGAGAAATCGAAGGCAATTTAACTTCGAAGTGTCTCTTGTTTTCTGCACCTTTGTTAAAACCCCGTTGTGTTAGAGACCCATTATCCCAGAGCGAAAAAAAAATGCAAGAAACTTCTGGTTCTGAAATTTATGTACCTAAAGAAGGAATTTTTGGTACAGTTAGATCCAAGGATGCAATTGAGATGTTACTTAGAGCTCCAATGTTAGCTGACTTGGACTTGTGGTCTCACTGGGACCTCGTATTTGCTCCTTCTCTGGGTCCTATTGTGGAATGGTTGCTGAATGAGGTCAACACCAAAGAGTTGTTATTTTTGGCAACAAAAGATGGCAAAATAATTCGTGTTGATCATTCAGCAACTTTAGACTCATTCTTAAAAGTTTTCATTGAAGGATCTTCTTTTGAAACGGCAGTGCAACTACTGTCTTTGTATGTATTATATGGAGGTGAACAACACATTCCTTTATCACTTCTAAAGTGCCATGCACGACAAGCCTTTGAAGTTATAATTAACAACTTAATGGAGATGGAGTTACAGAAGGATCAGAATCCCTTTGTTCACACAAAGCCATTATGTAATCAGCATATAGTTGATAAAAGCTCATCCGGGAATTTAGCCATCAATTTATACAAAAACAAGAACGCAATGAATAAAGCAATTCCTGTTGCTTCAAGGTTTATACTTGATTGTCTGAGTTATTTGCCACTTGAGTTTTGCAGTTCTGCTGCAGATGTATTGCTTGCCGGGTTGCAATATTTTGTGAAGGATGCATCTTCAGCCATCTTGACTGCATGCAAGCAAATAGAGCAGCGTCTCATGCTTCATGAAGTGGGGATCTCTCTTGGGATAGTGGAATGGGTTAATGATTACCACTCATTTCGTTCTTCTGTAGCAACTGAAACATTGTCTTCTGGATCTTCATTCTCAAGTTTTCCTAATTCTGAGTCCAATACGCCCTCAAAGATTATGAAAGATATATTGAACCAAGCACCTTCCTCTTTAGGTGAAATGTTGGACTCCAATGTTGTAGATCGGCATGATGGCTATGCTAAACTGGTCAGTAGCATGGCTGATTCAGCTAACGGTTCAGTTGATGGTTTTGCTGTAAATCCAGAGCAGCGTTTTTCCATACATGATGATCATAGTGATTATGATCCAGCCGGTGTTATTGAATCTATTAGGCGAGAAGAATTTGGTTTAGATCAAAGTCTTTCAGTTACTGAAAATAGAATGTTGGGGAAACAACATGCTCGTTTAGGCAGAGCACTACATTGTCTCTCACAGGAGTTATATTCTCAGGATTCACATTTTCTTCTAGAGCTGGTATGTTTGTATCTACTTATTCTTTTAAAGATTTATATATTTGATGGGAGCATCCCCCCTCCACCCTGGGAAAAACTAAGCCCAAAACAATTATTTAGGCTTCTCCACTTGTATCATCTGAAGAATCATATAAATTGCTGCAATTATTGTGTTGCTTATTTTCTGATTATTGTTTTTGTAGTTGTATGTGGTAAGCAGATCATATGACTGTGCTGTTGGCTAAATATCAAGTGATTGAAAATAACAAGAGATAGGAACTTGCATGATAATGGCATGAAAAATATTCTTATGACTTGGTGCTATCTGTTGATAAGTTCCAAATATAAAAAACTAGGAACTATTATCAGTAATGTTGTACAGTTGACCACTTTTTCTTTTGTTTCTTTCTTTCCTGATGATTCAGATTGTCTTCAGCCAATTTACCTGACATGCACATATATGCCTTCTTGTGCATTGAATCCTGGACAAAAATACATTTCATGTGACTATATGATTATCTTTCAAGTGTGAATATCATCTTCTGATGCAATGCGATGATATAGCAGTTGAGGTCTGAATGCAGAATAAACTAGCTGTCTGGGAAACCTGTATGTTTTTGTCTGACTATTAAAGGCTCTCCCTCTATTCTTTTTTCTCTTGTGCCAAGGGCATGAAGCTCATATTGGGAGTTGTGGCGACTTCGCTGGAAGGATAATAGGCTGAATGTGTCTTATATGCCTCACCCACAATTAATACAAGGTCTCAGTTTGTGTACATGGCTAGAGCCAGGAAATGTGGTATACTTAATCTATGGTGAAAATCTTGTTACTTTAATGAGTATAATTAACAAGTAGACTTTGCATATAGGCCTACATTGGGGAGGGCTAAGATTTAAGCAAGCCCCCCAACACACACACAGTAACACAGCTATACTTGTATGAGTTATTACCCTGACCTAACTAGCAGCTGTATTTTGGCAATTTTTTGGAAAGGGTATTCTTCACTAGTTAAATTGAAATTCCTCTTTAATTTCTTTAGAAAGTCCTTGTGGCAATTTGCCACTTTCAAAATGGCCTTTTTCTTCCTCATCACTTACAAGCAGCCTGCTTTTACTTCTATGCTCTTTTTAACTCCTATACATGGGTCGCAAATATATTAATTGAGATCCCAAGGCAAAATGTCCTTTATAGAACTTGAAGATGGGGATAAGCCTGAAGTTCTGGAGGCTGTGTTGAAGGAAATGTGGATTTAAAAATGGATCTGATAACTGATATAAATGATTTTCTCGACTGTTGTGTTTGGCTATAACTTTTACTTCTTTCCTCACGAGTTACAAAACTCGTGAACTTTGACTGAAGATGTGACCTGATTCAGGTAAGGGCACTCTACAATAGGTCCTGCATCCTTTCCTGTCTCTTGATCCGAAGCTCACCCAGAGGAAGGTAGTGAAATCTCAGAAGCGTAGTCTTTATCCTCTCTTGTAGAAAAATATTTCTTTCTTGGATTGCCACCCTTTTCCTCAAACAACATTAGGACATTTCCAATTGGTTGCAGCCATCAGAGAGGAAATGCTTCTCAGTATCAGCTCGGGACTCCCCTCCTGAGCTCATAAAATGCAGTATGCAGCTGAGCCCCTGAGTACTGGACTAGAAGATTGGAAATCCCGTCATTCCCATTTTCCTATTTCTTTAGAAAGGCACAATGGAAATTTCAGTCTGAGATTTCTTGGGCGTCCACGGTATAAAAATTCTATTGTTTCCAGTCATTTATGAGGGAAGACAAGAAAACTCGTTAAACCAGATACCCGCAGGCCCGTCTTGAACGGGGCGGGAATTCCCTGTCTAATTGACTACACGAGGCGGGTACGGGAAATATGGTCTCTGCCCCTTACCTTCTCCGTTTAAAATCTATTTAAAATTTAAGGTTTTTATAACACAAAAAGAAAATAATCATCATCCTTTCTAAATGGAATATGAATTATTCTACAAATTGGAAAACAAATGTAATGATTTTTACTAACTAAAGACATGAACATGTGTAAGCAAAAATTAAAATAAATAAAATAATAATAAATAAACGGAGCGGTCCCTGCCCAACGTTAACTGGGTATGGGGGCGGGGGACGGGAATGGCTTTCCCCGACCCGTTGCCATCCATGTTGGTAGTTGTTAGTTTGATCACAAATTTTCCTCGATGATGAAAATTAGAAATTGACACTAATTTTCCTGGGTTCTTTGTTTGTAACGTGTTAGACTAAAATTGCAATTAAGTCAAAATTGAAGCATTTGTTATTCTTTTAATAGCATTGATATTTACCTATATTTCTTAATGTAATTTTTCTGTAGGTTCAAAATGCTGATGATAATATCTATCCGGAAAATGAAGAGCCCACTCTGACATTCATTCTTCAGGAAACAGGTATTATTGTGCTAAACAATGAGCAAGGCTTTTCTGCTAATAACATCAGAGCTCTTTGTGATGTTGGAAACTCAACAAAAAAGGGTCAGAATGCTGGATACATTGGGAAGAAAGGCATTGGCTTCAAATCAGTATTTCGGGTATCATTAACAGGCATTTCTGTTGTTCTGCATGTCTTTTCTATATTACCTGCCTATGAAATGACACTAGTGGTTCAATTAAACGAGTAGGAAAAAGTATGAAGCCGCATTTCTACTGTTTACTGAATCACCTTGATGGAAGAGTATTTAGCCCATGTTTGGCTAATGTTTATAAACTGTTTATAATTGGTACCCACTTATCCACCACTTATTTCTGTGTGTGTATAATTTAACCATTATAAACCCTTCAGAAACAAGATTTTAGATGGGACAAAGTAAGTGTCTGTCTTCCCAAACCTTTTAACCATTGTAATGAGACCATTATGCTACATCACCATTCATGGTACTGTGGACTATTTTCAGGAATTCTTTGTGTGAAGGCTGTAGCATTAACATACTGATTCTGAATTATTACAAATGACAGCTTAATGATTAGAAACCACAGAAGAACAATGGAGGACTGTGTACATATTGATTGTCGTTTTTCTAGACACTGAACCCTACCTGTTCATTTATAATAAGGAAAAATATTACGCAATGGGAGGGGTAAAAATATATTGGTTGTGGTTATCGGGCTTTTGGTGTAAAAATTGAGGACCTTTGAATTTAGTACATAATTGATAATAAACTCCTTTTGCATCTGAGACTGTGTGCGCGCACAATGTCCACATGCGTTTTCTGTCTTTTGGAACAACTCTTCCCAAAATCTTACTTTTCTGTGTTTCTGCACTTTGTGGTTATTAACTGATAGGATTCTTGAGAGCCTTGGTCAAATATTTTACTTCTGTTGCATATCCAAAAGTGTGCATAATCTGCTATTCTGACTACTAGTGCTTGTTGCCTGTTTGGTGCATCAGTTTTAGTCTTTTAGATATTTTTGTTGTCTTTTTTAATTTGCCTTTAGTGGTAATCGGATAGGTATATTGCTTATTGTAAAGAAAAATGGTTAAAAGGTTACTTTGCTAGAATTGTTACTCAACCAACTATGCTTTAAGGTACTTGGTGTTTAGGCTGCTAAAGGATAAAATGACTATAAAATGAATTGTAGAAAACTCGAAAATATTGGTTTTTGTGTGGTTATACTAGAATGGATTAGGATATAAACCAATAAGTAGGTGACACCAATTGAGGTTAAATTAAGGAAAAGATGACTTTGCATTGTTTAGACATATTCTGTGTGATACCTTGTGTGCTAGATTAATCTTGGTACTGTTTGGAGAATTTTCTGGAATATCATGTAACATATCAGTTGTGGGAGACATTAGCGAGTCTGTTAATTATTTGGATGGTGCTGATCGTATGGTTTGATTGTGCTTACTCAACATGTCAAAGGTTTGGTGATACAATTGAAAGTTCAAGGTGGCACGTTTCAAATAAACCATAGTATGAAAGGACAGTGGATTTCGCTTTCCTTTTTTATTGTACATGGTCTACGTTGAGAGGAGATTGAATTATTGGCAACACTGTCATGAATTGAAGACATGAACCACTTGTTTAAGTTCTTGTTTTTGTAATGTGATTTCCTTGATTTGCTGTGGTTTGTTTTGAGGTATAGCTATGGTACAGTAACTGAATTCACATTCTAACTGAAACTAACTCTGTTCTACATTCTAACTGAAACTAACTCTGTTCTTACTTACTTCCGTAGAGACGGAATAGTTGACTGTAGAGCTATTTCTACTTTAGTACTAATGAATTATTACTTGTGTTCTAACACTCGAACATTTCACCAAATTACAGTTATGTATTTTTTCCTCTTCCCTGTGCCCAGGTTACTGATGCTCCAGAAATCCACTCCAATGGATTTCATCTTAAATTTGATATATCTGAAGGCCAAATTGGTTTTGTTTTGCCCACAATTGTTCCTCCCTGTAACATTGACTTGTATACGAGATTGGCTTCTGCGGATACTGATCAACTGAATCGCAACTCTTGGAACACATGCATAGTTCTTCCTTTTAGATCAAACCTGTCTGAAGGCCTCCCCGTGAATAACATCATATCTATGTTCTCAGATCTTCATCCATCTTTGCTACTTTTTCTTCATCGTCTTCAGTGCATTAAGTTCAGAAACATACTAGATGATTCACTAATTGTTATGAGGAAAGAAGTTGTAGGTGATGGTATTATAAAAGTTGCAATCGGGAATGAGAAGATGACTTGGTTAGTAGTGTCTCAGAAATTGCAGGCTCATATCATTCGTCCTGACGTACAAACAACAGAAATCTCAGTGGCATTTACGTTGCTGGAAACAGTTGATGGAGAATTGGTCCCAATTCTTAACCAGCAGCCTGTTTTTGCCTTTCTTCCTCTTAGAACATATGGTCTTAAGTTTATTCTCCAAGGTGATTTTATATTGCCTTCATCGAGGGAAGAGGTTGATGGAAATAGTCCATGGAACCAGTGGTTACTCTCCGAATTCCCAGGCTTGTTTTTTGGTGCAGAGAGATCTTTTTGTGATCTTCCTTGTTTTAGGGGGAGCCCTGGAAAGGCTGTTGCAGCATTTATGAGTTATATTCCACTTTTGGGGGAAGTCCATGGGTTTTTTGCTAGCCTTCCACGGATGATACTTTCTAAATTGCGCTTGTCAAATTGCTTACTGCTGGAAGGTGATGAGAAAGAATGGGTTCCTCCTTGCAGGGTTCTGAGAAATTGGACTGACCAAGCTCGTTCTCTATTACCAGATAGTTTACTTCACGAGCATCTTGGCCTTGGTTACTTGAATAAAGATATAGTTATATCTGATACATTAGCAATGGCTTTAGGCGTAGAAGACTATGGACCCAGAATTTTACTTAAGGTTATTATTTCATTGTGCTGTTCAGATAATGGTCTGAAATCGATGGGCTTCAGTTGGTTATCTTTTTGCCTCAGTGCCATTTATGTGTTGTCGTCACATTCTTCTGGTCAAACTCCCTCCAGTCGTGAGACTGGATCGGATATCACATGTGAACTTCGGAGAACCCCATTTATTCCTCTTTCGGATGGTAAATACAGTTCAGTGGAAGAAGGCACCATTTGGTTGCATTCTGATGTTGTAGATCTAGGGATTAATGATGAATCTGTTTTCAAGGTTTTCCCTAAACTGTATGATAGGCTGCGGATTGTGAGTCCCAACCTCATTTCTGCAGCTGCTTCTGTTGAGAACTCCTCCTCTGACACGTCCATAGTGGAGAATGTTACAAGGCTGCTTTATCGAGTAGGTGTTCAGCAGTTATCCGATCATGAAATTGTGAAGGTTCACATCCTACCAGCTCTCTCTGGTGGTGGAAGTGGATTGGGACTGGAAGAACTGATGACAGAGTACCTCTCTTTTGTAATGTTCCATCTACAATCAGGTTGTACTACCTGTAGCACAGAAAGGGGGGACATTATTTCAGAGTTACGGGACAAGGCTCTAATCTTAACAAATTATGGCTACAAACGACTTAGTGAGGTGCCGATCCATTTTAGTATAAACTTTGGAAATCCTGTTGATGTAAATAAGTTAATTATTGGCCTTGATGTGAAATGGCACGAAATTGACACGGCCTATTTGAAGCATCCAATTACCAAATTAGTATCTAGTGGAATGCTGAAGTGGAGACATTTCTTACTAGAAATAGGAGTAACTGATTTCGTGAAAATAGTTCAAGTTGAGAAGTGTATTTCTGATACGTCTCATGATGCAATGAAGACTACATTGTGGAATGGAGACATGTTTCCTACGAGTTCTGTGGCCAAAAATTGGGAATCTGAAGAGTTGTTTCATTTGCTATCAAAACTGTCTTTGAGAGGCAATCAGGAAAAGTGCAAGTACTTCTTGGAGGTGCTTGATACGCTATGGGATGACTATTTTAGTGATAAGGTTACCGGTTATTGCATTGATTCCACTGGTGAAAGCAAACCATTCAAATCATCACTTATGTGCGTCCTCCACGATGTTTCATGGATAGTGTCGAGTATAGATAATGAACTTCATTTTCCTAAAGATTTATTCCACGACTGCACAGCAGTTAACTCGGTTCTAGGTGTTAGTGCCCCTTATGCCATTCCGAAGGTTAGTTTCAGTTTCATATCTCTGGGTTATTTCCTTCAGCATTGTCTTAGAAAAAATTCACATGTTTTATCAGTTCCAATATATACATTTGAAGTTACAAGACTGCATTTATGTTTTTACCTGCTTCTATTTGCTCTCTTTTAGAAATATTCTCTCTCTCTCTCTCTCTCTCTCTCGATATTTTATCAGCCAAGGGTATTGTTGTTCTTTTAAGAAATTCTGTAATTTCAGAACTTTATGTTCCATTTTGAGTCACGTAAGGAATTGATACAGAATTACAGCTGGGAAAATAGAATCTATTGAATATTCTTCTTCTAGGAGTAATGTTCATCAGGCTCAACAACTCCTGTTTAGTCCTGATTATTTGCTTCAGTGCTCTAATCATTTCCCCAATCTTGTACCAAGTTCAACCAAAAATATAGTGATTTATTGTTTAAGCATTTGGCTACGTTTAAACTGAATATTTTACTTATTCCAGGTGGAAATCTATCGTAGAAAGAGTGGAATATATCTCTTAGCTAAGCTTGCAAGGGAGAGACAACATGCTTATAATACGACTATTATATATTTCTATGATTTTGTTAACGTGTTTTAGTTTCCGTGTGTATTATGTCCGAGATGTTTCCAAGCACATTATTCAAGTCTCTGAAATTTGTTATGTTCTGCTGCGTTATAAAATTGTGTTTGCCTTTAACCATGAGGTTTTTGTTTGCTCTTTTTTCCATCTATTATAATGTGTATGCCATTGTTGGGATTTCATTGATTTACCATCTTCTCATCCGTGCCTATACATGTTTTCCATATGATATGCTCCCCTAAAGTGCTTCATCAATGAATGTTCACTCCATCACTGGCCCATTTTATTTTATTTTTTTTCTTGAAAAAAGAAGTGCTTCTCTGATAATGATGACCAAAAGATGAATTCAGTGTTATCGTCTTTTTTACATGTAATATATGTATTTTTCAAATAGACTAAAGGAAAGTACATTGTTTCAACTTGAAATAGGTGAGGAGCAGAAAGTTGGTAGATGATATTGGTCTAAAAACTGAGGTTACTCTTGATGATGCTCTATCTATTCTACAAGTTTGGAGAAGATCTGAAATATGTTTCAAGGCTAGGTATGCTTCTTTGACATATTTGATGTATCAAGCTTGCTTTATTCATCCCAGTACAGGCGTACTAGGATAAATTGAAACAAGTTTCTTTGGCTTTGTATCCGATAGTCGTTTTGGAAACTTTAAACAGCGGTGTAAACTTCATCCCTTCTCTTCTCTCTTCCACGTGGGACATGTCAGAAAATGTGCTGAGAAAAGAAGTAAACTCTTTCACAAAGCTTCACCTCTTCCGGATTTTGAAGTCACATTGTACTCTGTTAGATTAACTACAACTCTCTTTGATTTACTACCTCTTTCCCTTTATTTGTGTTTAGGTTTCTTCTGGGTGGGTTGGTTGTTGGGCACGGATGGAAGGGCAGAGGGGTGGAATTAATGTCAGCGTGGTCATTTTTGTTTTACTACTTCCACATTTGCTTTCAAAATGATCCCGTAATAAAAAATTATAGCCCCTTTTTTTTGGGTTGGAGAATGCTATGCATTGAAATTATTTCAAAGCGAACCAAACTCTCTATGCTAATACTTTTTTTTTTTAATTTATAATGATTTTTTTATATCTGTATCTTTTCTATTCATATCTCATCCTTAAGATTGCTCAGATTCTTTTTCCTTTTTTTTGAAACGACATGCTTATTCAAATGATATTTGATTTTGTCATTCAGCATCTCTCAAATGTCAGATTTTTACACATTCATCTGGAAAGAAATGTCTACGTCAAAGCAGAAAATAGTGGAGGAATTACGTTCTGGACCTTTTATTTTTGTTCCATGTGCATCCAACTCTTCACGTGAGGATGCAATACCTGGTGCCTTTTTATCACCTCAGGAAGTATATTGGTACGATAGCACTGGTTCCATGGACCAAATGAAGTTGAATGATCAGGACTGTGTTTCAAATATTGCAAGTTCCTTGAGAAAAATGCTACGTAATTTTTATCCTAACCTTCATGACTTCTTTGTAAATGAGTGTGGAGTGGATGAGATTCCTCCTTTCCGTAGCTACCTCCAGATTTTGCTGCAGTTATCTACTGTTGCTTTACCTCACCAGGCTGCAAAGACAGTAAGAAATATAAGCTGGAAGTGAACTACATCTCAATCCTTGCTTCCTAACTCACTCGTGAATATTATTTGAGTATTCTTTTATTTACTACAGGTTTTCCAGGTTTTCTTACATTGGGGTGATGCAATAATATCTGGATCGATGAGTTTGGAAGATGTTGAGTACCTGCAAGATAGTCTTCTGAAAAAGGAATATGCTGTGCTTCCCACTAGACAAGATAAATGGGTTTCTCTACACACATCATTTGGTCTTGTCTGTTGGTGTGATGATGATGATTTAGGAAGGGAATTCAAGCATCTAGAAGGTGTCAACTTTCTGTACTTCGGGGAATTTCCTGATGAAGAACACTTGATGCTTCATGCAAAAATCTTAATCATTATGAACAGATTAGGGATTCCTGCTCTCTCAAAGGTTCTCTCTCTCTCTCTCTCTCTCTCTCTCCCCATGTGTGCATGTGTCTGTAATCTGATTGTAAGCAAGAACTCTCATGATGTTAATAGATCTGCATATGAATAGTGGACAAATTAAAACAGTCTCTCTCCTTGCTCTGTGTGCATGTATTTGTGTTTCTTTTCTGTATGTACGTGTTTCTGATTGGAGGTGAGAAAACAAATGATGGTTCTACTTATCTGGGTATTGTTATTTTTTGACAAGGCAGTTGTGTGGAAATATATACACCAGATCTCTGCACGGGATGTCTTTTTTTTTGTTTCCATATGGTCACTCAAGAATTAATATACTGTGTAATTTGAACTCCTTAAATGTATAGCATGTTTGGCTAAGCTTAAAATCCAATTAAAATTGAAAATATAGCCATTATTGGGTTCTACTCGCCTAATAAAAGTCAACAATAACGGCTAGTTTTTCAATTTTAATCCGATTTTAATCTCTACCGAACACGTCCTTATTATAATGGTCAGATGGGCTGCATTATTTCTTTGATAGTTCTGTATGGAACTTTCTGTAGTTGGTCTGCAATTTTACATCTAATCCCGTGATAAAATCCTTGCATTAGAATGTGTTGTGCAATATGTGACACCTAGAAGGTTAATGTTTTATTGATCATCATGATTTATGCATTTAACTTCTTACTCTTGAACTTTATTATGTTTTCGTCAGTCATGACATTGTCTTACACTTGAATTATTCACGGTTTTCTTGAATATGATTGTGTATTTGTAGATTGTAACTCGCGAGGCAATATATTATGGTCCAGCAGACTGTAGTTTCATATTTTCTCTGGTGAATTGGGCTCTTCCTTATGCTCAACGCTATATCTTGAATGCGCATCCAGATAAATTTTTTCAACTGAAGCAGTCTAATTTTGAAGATCTGAGGCGTTTGAAGATTGTTGTTGTTGAAAAGTTGTTTTACCGTAATGTTATGAAGTGCGAGATTACATCAAAGAAAAGATATGAATGTAGTTGCCTATTACAGGTACATAATCCTTACTATATCCTTGGCATTGTTTCCTCTCTCTTTGAAGTTCTAATAGTAGCCTGGCAATGCTCAATTGCGACCTTGTGACATCACTTGGCATAATTTTTAAGATCAACTATTTTGCACCATCTTTTTCATAGCATAAAATCTTGTAAAAGTAGCAGGTGGTGTTTTATTTCCTTTTGAGCTTCTCCTTCTCAATCCTATATTACTTTCCGGTGATAGCATAGGCCAACATGGTTCAAAGACAGTGTTAGCATGAAGTCCACTTTGGTTTAATTGATAACCTACAACCTACTGATAAATCTTTACAGGACAACATCCTATACTGCAGTCGAGAATCAGATTCCCACTCAATATTCATGGAACTTTCTCGCTTACTATACGATGGAACGCCCGAATTGCATTTTGCAAATTTTCTTCACATGATCGTGACCATGATAGAATCACATTCAACTGAGGAGCAAATAGAGTTCTTCATTTTGAACAGCCAAAAGGTGCCAAAACTCCCTACCGAAGAACCTGAGTGGTCCCTTTCAGTGGAGAAGAATGCAACACTAGTGGAAAATTCTGTTTCAAGAAAGACAGAGGAACAAAACCCTACAGTGTTCAAGAGGAGACCTGGCATCAACTCAAATTGGCCACCTGCTGATTGGAAAACTGCACCTGGTTTCAATTTTGCCTGTCGTACAGTTGGATTCAATACACCAGCAGGTAGCGGCCTGCAGCAAACTACAAAGAAGGATGGTATCAAAGAAAATGTTGAAAAATCGGTGGTTGAGGCCGGCAGTGAATCAACTATAGATGGTGATCCAATAGTAATTAGTCCACCAGCTTCACTAAATGCTGAGATTTCAGAAAGTATGTTTAATTTGGCAAGCAACACGATTGATTCTGATATGAATGTGGCACTTGATTCTGTTGATCTCGTCGATAGCCTGAATTTTAGTTCATCAAATTCTATGGAGAGAGATCACTTATATGTAGATGCCGCCAATGCACAACAGGCATTGTTTACAGGGAGACTAGGAGAGTTTGTAGCTTTCAAATATTTTACCGAGAAAGTCAATGGAATGTTTGTGAAATGGGTCAATGAAGCTAATGAAACTGGGCTACCCTATGACATTACTATAGGTGGTGATGAAAATAGGGAATACATTGAAGTCAAAGCAACCAAATCCGCAAGAAAGAATTGGTTTGTTATAACAATGAGAGAGTGGCAATTTGCAGTTGAGAAAGGTGAGTCTTTTAGCATAGCTCATGTGACTTTATCTGGTAAAAAGATGGCAAAGATTACCATATATAAAAATCCAGCAAGACTCTGCAAGCTTGGTAATCTAAAGTTAGCCATGCTGGTGCCAAAATAGCTGGGAGTTGTCTGCCAAGGACTGTTATGATCCACCACTATTTACCATGAAGCGCTTCCTCGTTTATTTGGCCCTTGGATTAAAGCGCGCTGCTATGGTGCAACAATATGGCAAGGATCACTATACAAAAATGCAGCTAGATTTGGCGAGGCTGGTAATTTAAAGCAAGCAGTCGCTCTCTGTTTAGATAACTTATTTTTTTGCACCCTTTTGGGTAATTACAACTTGAGGCTCCCTGTGATGTCAATATACCATATACCACGAGCCGCTTACTCAGGTGTTACGCACTTGAGTAAACACATACAGCAACACCGAGCTTGTCTATACGTGAATGAAGGAAACATTGGTCAACTTGCTGCAAATATGTTTAGTTTAGTGATATTGACAAAAAAATTGTATTTGGCGAAACAGCCGGCAGAATTTGTAGCAGTATTGCGTTTTCAGGTTCATGTTTCATTTGTTATAGATTCGTGGTTCATCATTATGATTGGTGTATCTGTATTCTCTAAAAGACTGGTGACAATTGTACAGTTATACGATATACATTTATTTGGATATTCTCTTTAGGGAAACTTGTAGTCACGGTATCAAACCTTTCATTTAATAGTAGATTTTGTCCAAACTTTTCATTTATGCCACTCACGATATCAAATCTTTCAAAAACTCGCTTGGAGTTCAAATGAATGTTTTTTCGTTAATTTGACCGTTAGTTGATCGGATAATTGATCTTGATCATAATTTTGACTTATTTTAAAATAATAAAATTGGAACTTAATATTTTTTCAATAAAAAATACAATTATAATATATTAATAATTAAATAAATAAATAACCAAAAACCACCATATTCCCCTTCTTCCCCAACCTTTACCCCAAAACCACAAACAGTAGCAGTAGCGATTGACGTAACTGTACCCATCCAACGCCAGGACCACCATCGTCGTCGGTAAAAAAACTGCAACAGCCATTGCGAATCCACTAACACACCAGATCCCACCATTATGACAATACCCCCTAGTGAAAGAGATTGAAAGACCATCTCGCCACAGCAAGAACCCACTAACACCACCATCATAGTACCATTGCAAGAACCCCCACTTACACCACCACCTACTGGCGAAAAAAGGAGATGGGCTAGCCAGATTCAGGTAAGGCGAGTTCGTGAAGGGCTAGCTCAAGAAGACTGGAAATTCATATCATGCAATCTCCAATCCGTCACTAACCACCTCAAATTAAACAATAATCAAATTAACAATGCTCAAAACTTAATCCAAAAACATTTTAAGGTGGTGGTGCCTGGTTTTGAGGATGTGTTCAAGGATTATGACGATTTTGAAACATTTATTCTGGTTCTTGTAATATCACCTGATAAATCGAGCTTGCGCTTGTGATTTTGAAAATGAGCTGAAGAATGAGAGCAAGTAAATATTGTTTCTCCAAATACTACTTTCACGAACATTGTCTTGACTTCACAATTTGGGCATTCATCGTAATGCAGTTAAAATTTTCTTCTTTTGAGGTGGTGGTGCCGATGACTATGGCGGTGGAAGATGGTGGTGGTGGCGATGATTGGTTGTGGCTGTGGCTGTGGCTTTTGGATTTGGTGGGGTGGGGTGGGGGTCGAGGGAAGAAGTGGAAGAAAACCTTTTTTTTTCTTTGATTTATGTTTTTTAAATTTAATTATTAATATATTTTAATTATGGTTTTTGCTTAAAAACATGTAAAGTTACCATGTTAACCTTTTAAAATTAGTCAAAATTATGATCAAGATCAATTCTCCCGTCAACTAACGGTCAAACTAATAGAAAGCATTCATTTGGACTCCAAGTGAGTTTTTGAAAGGTTTGGTACCATTGGTGGTACAAATGAAAGATTTGAATAATTTATGCTACTCAATAGATACCGTGGCTGTAATTTTCCCTTCTCTTTATTAGTAAAATAGACGTCTAGATGGAAAATCCATTTTTTATTGATTCAGAATTGGACCAATTTGATGTGTATACAACTTTCTTTGTAGTTAGAAGCATATTTTTGTATACATTATAACTAGAGGGACTTGCATAACTAGACAAACAACGAATTTGTTTACAAACTCAACAAATCTCTATATTATTAGTCAAAAACATATCACCAAATCATAAAATACAAGAAATTTGATGCGTCTTTTTGGATGTTACACGGAGTGCAATATAATTTTTCCATTATTATACAAAACTCGATGATTTCATGACACTTCACTTTTATAATATAGTAAAATATGTCTATATGCATACTAAGGAAATAATCTCAACATAATCATTAAAAGATGCTAGAGGTACATCACCTCTTACATCGGGGTGTCTATAATGGACACCCTGCGCCTCCTCATTGAAGAGAGGGTTGGTGGGGTCGACACTCCCTCCAATGAGGAGGTGCCGGGTGTCCATTATGGACACCCTTATGTAAGTAGTGATGTACCACTAGAATAATCTTTAAAATTTTTGGTCAAGTTATAATTTTTTAAGTCCATCTTAAGAAAACTTGCCTTCACATGGCAATACTGATCTGTTCATTTAAAAAAAAAATGCTATGTTATATTAAAGGTTTAACTAAAGTAAAATATTTATCTATAGTTGTTTGGCGGCACAATGATTTGTTCTTTGGAGTTGTTGGCGAATCTTTGAACTTGCGATCTTCAGCTTGGACATCTTCTTGTTGAAGCCAAAATATTTCTAGCTTTTCAAGAATGTTTAGAGCTTCTTGGTACGAAACTTTCTATGTTTCCTTATTATCATTCTCATGATTATCTCCCTCCTCTTCTTGTCAAATCGTAGGAATGATTTCTTCTTCAAGCATACATGACTTATTGCTCATTTGGATGATTAAGGAAGACTTTCATATTCATTCGATTAGTATGCTGAAGTTGTCGAATATGTTCCCTCAATTCTGTAATGACTTCAATTTTCATCATCCACTGCATTTGTAAATTGCAATTCGTTGACATCGGATCATACTTCTGTAGTGCTTTAAACCGTTGACAATTGTCTGTGACTTCACATCAATTGACCATGTAGAAACTTATCCTTTCTAGTTCCGAGACACGATCTTTTCTCTTTCGAAAGTAGGAGATTAGAGCGTTGATGATAATAACCTTTGAAATTTCTGATGATACTTGCATTATACAGCTAAATTTTGGAAGTGCTATTTGACGGTAAACAAAACTCACATTTATATCCAAACAGCTATCAAAATCACTTGAGTGATTCCATAAATAACAAAGATGTCATCCATGCATTTGATTTCGTTCGAAACTTGCAGTTGAGATATCGCTCTTAGCATTCTTAAAGCATCTTGGATTAAGAAACTTACCTATAATCATCATTGCAACAAATAACAATTGTAATCCTTTCTTTATTTTGCTTTCTGTCCTCCAACTGCTTTGTTACAAGAGAGATGCCGCCTTGCATGTGATAAAATAAGCAAGTGAATTACTCTCTCAAAATGATTGAAGGAATGATTGCATGTAATTGTTTGAACTTTTCCAACCATTCAGTTGAAAATTCAAGTGATGTAGCATCGGGATAGAGTTGCCTCAGAAAAATATTTTCCTTCTCTTTTAGCAATTCACCTCTCATATTGACATGCTCTTGATGGCATACAAATCGTTCATAAATGGCAGACTCCATTGCTGGGTACCTTACCATCCTTGAGGTTTTTGCATTTGGGTTTAATAATATTTCTTCTTCATGTTAAGATTTGGGGGTCCATCTTAAAAGGTCAACCTTGTTAAGAGGAGTAGCCCAAGATCTTTATTAATTGGTATGTGTCAACATCTTTATTCGATGTGGGATTATATCCCTTAACACACCCCCGCAAGATGGTGGCTCATTTGAGCAGACCAAT